CAAAGAAAGTCTTGACAAATAAACATCATGAGACTTATTTTAAAGACTATATTCACAGATGTATAGGACAGTGGTTAGGAGCTGGAGAGCCCAGATGCCTGGGTCTCAATTTCTGGCTATGACCTCAGGCAAGTTATTTGCTGTCTTGGGCCTCAGTTTTCTGTCTGTTAAGTGGAAACATTAATAATGTTCCCTGCATAGAAGTACCATGAGGGTCAAATTAGTAGGCAGAGTGAGAGATCTAAGTGTTGAGCTTTATTTACCCAATATTAACTAACCTGTGCTAACACAGAACATGATCTGTATGTAGCTAGGGTTATTGGAGCAGGTGAGGGCAAGATGAATAAAGTTCATGTCCTTCTCTCAGGGATGGCTCAGGAAAATGGGGACAAACAATCAACACCAGTGTTATGGTTTGGATGTGAGGTGTCCCCCAAAAGCTCACATGTGAAACAATGCAAGAAGGTTCCGAGGAAAAATGATTGGGTTATGAGAGCCTTAACCCAGTCAGTGAATTAATCACTGATAGGGATTAACTGAGTGGTAAGTGACGTGGTGGGGTGTGGCTGGAGGAGGGGGAATCGGGGTGTGGCTAAGGCATATATATTTTGTATCTGGAGAGTGGAGTCTCTCTCTGCTTCCTGACCACCATGTGAGCTGCTTCCCTTCGCCACACTTCCGCCATGACGCCCTGCCTCCCCTTGAGCCCTGAGGAACGGAGCCTGCTGTCCAGGGACTAAGACTTCTACAATTGTTCTGATGGGGTCCTTTAGTCACAGCGGTGAAAAAGCTGACTAAAACAACCAGCGTGCAGAGAGGAGTGGGGAGGAAGCAGGAGGGTCAGGGCCTCAGAGCTCCACAACAGTCTGACAATTTGAGGCAATTTTCAAACTTGCTCTCAGAGTGTGGCTGACAGGAGAGAGCTCCTGGGGACACGGGCTCTTTTCAAAGGGCCAGATGTTCTGTCAGCTTAGTTCCTACAAGGGCTACCCTACAACAGGCCCCACCTCCTACTGGGGAGCTTCAAACCCTTGGCTAGGAGTCCTCCAGAGGGTGACTAAACCCCTGCTGGTCTTCCACAGAGGGAGGCCTCCCAATGAAGGACTTCATAGAAACTGTCATCCACTCCCTGGGAAAGCGCTGCGTTTCCTCTGAGCTTTCTCTAGGCAGCCTTTGGGGGGGGGGGGGGCTGAGAGGCCACACTCTCAGGTTCAAGTGACACTCCAAGGCCTGGTGCTGTGCTTAGCCTTGGCCGGGACTTCTTCCAGAGCCACCCCATACCTGCTCCCGGGCATCTCCATGCCGACAGCAAAGAGCCCTCAAACCCAACATAACCAAACAGAGCCCGGCTCCATTTTTCTGCTTCTTCCCAGACAGAACAGCCAACTGAAAGGTGGCAAAGCACACTGCTGCCACCTCGTCCCCTCAGCCACCACACACCATCCTTCTCTAGATCCTGTCTACTTTACCCTCCAAGTTCTCTTGAATCTAGCAGCTTCTCTCCTGGTCCAATTCTATCCTTCTGTTCCAAGGAGCCCCGCGCTATGTGTTCTGCCCTGCCACTCTGTCCCCAGCCTTCTCTCTTATTTCTTCTTGTCTCTCACCCATTTATGCTCCACACCGTTACTGCATGAATGTTTCAAATTCCCTGTTTAAATGTATCAGTGGTTTAATAGTAATAACTGTAATGAAGACAATGATGATGAAAACAGCGAACGTGTACTGAGCACGTGGGCGGATACTCTCCTAAGCCCTCTGTCTGCATCATCCCTTGGAATCAATACGCTGACTTGTGAAGCAAGCATTATCCTCTCCTCCGTTTTACAGATTGAAGCCCCGAGGCACTAAGAGGTGGATCCCTTGCCCATGAACCAAACCTGGGGAGTAAGTGGTGGAACTGGACCTCAAACTTAAGCCTCTGTCTCCCTCCTTCCAGACTGAAGATGAAGGGCCGCCCTCTGCCCCATCAAGCCCCACTAGCCTGCCCTGCCCCTTTGACCTGCTGCCACCATGTCCCCGACTTCCTAGCTTAGCCACACCTTCAACCATACCATCTCCTCCCTCTCTTCTTTCAGGATTTTGGCACATAGGAGATTCTTCTAACCCTCAAGGCTTAGCAGATCCCTTCTGTATATCTCTGAGGCATCAACTGCATGCAATTATATACTTTTGCCAACCATTAAATCCTAGGACCTAAAACAGCACCTGGCATACAGCAAGTGCTCAGAAAATCTCTACCAACTACAAAAGGAAGTATGAGTGGATGCAAAACTCCTAGCTTCTACTTCAAGAGTCACCATTTATACCAGTAGATTTTGTACAATGTCCCCCTCTCTGAGCCTCTGGGAACCATTGTAATTTTCTAGTAAAAAATCAAAGCAATATTAATAACAAAGCACTTGGAGTCATCCAAACTCTTTCACAAAAATCCCTTTGGATCCCACAATGACCCTGAAGACTGCCCTTGACCAAACAGCAAGGTTGCCACCAGAGGTAGGTGGCAACTGACTCATCAAGGGTGTGACAAAGCTCTGAAGCAGTACAGCAAGATCAGAAGTGAGTGGCGGTGGTGCTGCCTGCTCGGCTGTTGAGTCCTCCAAAGGGTGACTAAACCCTGCTGGTCTTCCACACAGGGAGACCTCCCTTGGTAACTGTCCAGGCTTTCCCACTTGTTTGCCTGTGTTCAAAATAAAGCTGGGGTGGGGGATCTGGTCCATCACCATGGTGACCACAGAGACCCACACAGAGGGGGACACTGGGGGCACCACAGCCATCCTGCCCTGCCCCAACCTCAGCCCCAACCTCTGCACAGAAGCTGGGAGATGAGAGTCTGCCCTTCTTTAGTGAACACTCATTTCTCCAAACATTAAAGAGTGTGGGGGTGGGGGTCGGGGGCTGGGTCATGGCTCAGTGGTAGAGTGCTTGCCTCACACGTGTGAGCCACTGGGTTCGATCCTCAGCACCACATAAAAATAAAGAAATCACACGAAGGTGTTGCGTCCATCTATAACTAATAATAAAAAAATAAAGAGCACGAGGAGTTGCTGGTCACAGGAGCAGCTTCTGGGGACCCAAGCCCTTGCAAGGCCATGGCCTCTTATAAACACCAATCTGGCCATGTTATGGTTTAGGGTAGGTGTCCCCCAAAAGCTCAATGTGAGACAGTGCAGGAAAGTTTAGAGGTGAAAGGAGTGGGTTATGAGAGTTTGACCTAGTCCGTGGATTCATTTCCTGCCTGGTACCTGTAGGCAGGTAGGGTGTGGCTGGAGGAGGTGGGTCACTGGGGGCCTTGGGGGTTTACATATTGTCCCTGAGGGGCACTCTCTCCTTGCCATGTCCCCAGCTGCTTTCCTCCACCACACACTTCTGCCATGATGATCTGCCTCACCCCAGGCCCTGAGGAGTGGAGCTGGCTGGCTGTGGACTCAGACCTCTGAAACCATGAGCCCCCAAAGAAACTTCCCCTCTAAAATCGTTCTTGTCAGGTCTTTCAGCCACAGCAGCAATAAAACTGACTCACTCACACCGTCCACACTACTGCCCACCTCCACCCCCAGCCAGGGCGGTTTGGGGTAGAGCCAGTGCAGAGATACTGCCCCACATATTCAGGCTCCAGGCCACATCTGGGCAGAAGGTGTGGCTCTACTTTATGTAGTTGTCAATGTCAATTCTGTGGACCAGGAGCTTACACGGAGGTTTTAAGGGAAAAAACAACTCTAATGCCACGTTATTCTTACAACCCTGAAGGTTTAAAGAAATCCCTCCCATAGCATCCCCCCAAGCAGAAATGTGCAAGATCATTCCCTGAACACCAGACCAGTACCTGCCTGTGATTATCTGTCCATTTCTTCAGGAGAAACAAACAGTAAAACTGTTTTTAAAAATAAAAGTGGCCCCTAAAGATGTGGCTTTCCAGGTGACTTGAATTTTCTAAGACATTATAAAGCTGACATAAACACTAAAGTAGGTGAACTTTATGTTGAATTCTTTACGTGGACAGGTATCAAAAAACAAATCATTTCTGGGCATGGTGATGCACACTTATCATTCCAGGGATTCTGGAAGCTGAGGCAGGAGGATCACAAGTTTGAGGCCAGACTTAGCAATGCAGTGAGGTCCAAAGCAATTTAGCAAGCCGTTGTCTCAGAATAAAAAATAAAAAGGGCCGGGGATGTGATTCAGTGGTTGCTATGGTTTGGATGTGAGATGTCCCCCCAAAGCTCATGTGTGAGACAATGCAAGAAGGTTCAGAGGAGAAATGATTGGGTTGTAGGAGTCTTAACCTAATCAGTGATTTAAACCCTGATGGGATTAACTGAGTGGTGGCTGGAGGCAGGTGGGGTGTGGCTGAAGGAAGTGGTTAATTGGGTGTGTGGCTATGGGTATATATTTTGTATCTGGCAAGTAGAGTCTCTCTTTCTGCCTCCTGGTCACCATGATGTGATCTGCTTTCCTCCCCGACTCTCTCTGGCCATGATGTTCAGCCTCACCTTGAGCCCCGAGGAATGGAGCCAGCCTTCTATGGACTAAGATCTCTGAGACCATGAGCCTCAAATAAACTTTTCCCCCTCTATAATGTGCTGGTAGGATACTTTAGTCACAGCAGCAAAAAAGCTGACTAAAACAGTGTTCAAGTACCTCTGGGTTCAATCCCCCCCCCCTCCAAAAATGAAATAAGCTTACAAAATAGGAATCTTAACAAGTGAAATCAGAAAGAGACTCTATTTCACCCTATTTCATTATAGAAATTCATTTCAATGCCTAAATAGAAGTCACTGAAATTCCTACATTATGTCTAATATTCAAACATAATTTTTCAAGTTATTGTAGCATAGTTTTTTTTAAAAAAAGAGTCATCTATTTTTACTTCACAATTGAAACAAAATAGAATGTGCATTTGTGCAGAGATTTCGGAAATTCAGAGTAGAAAGCTGATCAAGCTAATTTATGATTTAAAGTGGAAAAGTTCAAGCATCACTAGGATAATGAAGGGTTTTTACCTTCTGGACACTGGCAGGTGAATCCATTGAGACTAGACACGCACGTGGCTCCATTTCTGCACGGATCTAAGATGCAATAATCAATCTGGGACTGGCAGAGCTCTCCAGTATAACCTGTGCAAAACGAGAGGTGCATTTTAGGAAATGCGCTATTCCAGGACCTCCAGGAGCCCCCCCACCCCCGATTGGGTGGACTTAACTGGTACCCACCCAAGGATGCAGAAGCCTTGGGGCTAGTCTCTCAGCCACTCTTAGATATCTGTCATTTAGTTTTATAACCAGAAATAATCATAGCACTTTAGAATCCATTAAAAAAAAAATCAGTTGCTTTGTAAAACTGTTTTCCTGCAAAAGAAGTCTTTTCTACAGGGTCTGTTTTATCTTGTCCCAGCCTCCAGAAGCTCAGATTGAATGCCAGCATCCCTGTCGACAGCTTCCTTCTGACTTGAGAATTTACAGTGCTCTGCTTGAAGTAAGTTAGCTGATGGCCACTTCCCCCTTGGTCACAGCAATACCTCTGTAAATGGCATTAGGAAAATGTCTGGGTATTAAAATTTTGAATTTATAATATTTTAGAGCTAGAGGAACCCATCTGTTTTAATTCTGTGTCTTATCCCCTCATTTTAAAGATAAACAGATTGAGGCACTTATAATGCTAAGCACATTAATATATTATTCTTAATACTTATTTGACTCATAAATCCGATTCTAAATTCTCTGTGAAGCCAGCCTCCCATGGTGATTTTGTTGGATAGTAACATAATCACATGCATGTGAACAGGAAATAAGGGTGTAAATCTACTACTACACCTGGGGCCAAAAAGCTTTAAATAAATTCCATATTTTTTATTAATTGTGAAAACAAAGCCCTCCAGAGAGACAATTTAAAAAAAAAAAACTAGCATACTAATATACTTCTCATCTTAAAGTGGTCAATGGTTTGAAAGAAAAATTGGAAACTACAGGACATGAAATCAAAAGAGGGGGGAAAAAGCTGCTCTTAATTACGTTATTTAAGTGACAGGAGCATTAATACTGTGGAGATGGTTTCTATCATAGATTTTTATGCAAGATATTTTCTAAATGATTATAATAGTACTGCAACATTTTATATATTCCTACCATGGTTTTAACAACATAAAAAACTTTGTCTTTCTGAATTAATAGCTTTGAAAGGCTGTCATTAGCACTTGCATAAGAGATTTGCAAAGATAAATAAATGATATTAGATGAAAGATCATTTGCCTGGGCTTCAATTACCTGCCACACTAGTATAAATTACAGATTGTGGATTCATTTGCAATTCTGCTCCTCCTCTCATGGTGGAAAAAAATTCTAGAAGATTCTAGCTAATTCATGGGTACGAGAAGATGGGTAAGATAGGCCTGTGAGTTAAAAATTCCCTCTTTTAAAAATCCAGAACAGAATATTTTAATATGATAATACTATGCTAAGAATATATTTTCAAATGGCATCTCTAAATTCAAAGTACAGGACAGTGAATTGTTTTTATGAGGAATGCTAGGAATAATTTTGGCTAAAAATAATGGCTAATATTTACCATGGAGCACTTATGTTTTACCTATATATTGACTCCTCCTCACGGCAACCCCCTAAGGTCACTCCCATTTCACAAATAAGGAAACTGAGGATTAGGGAGGTCAAGTAATTCACATAAAGTCATCCAGGAGTCACATGCTTGTGTCCAGTCCCTTAAACACAACATCATACCTAAGGCACTAAGTATTGCTAACATCAACAAACATGGATTCATTTTTATTTATTAATTTTTTTAGGACTGGGAATTGAACCCAGGACACCCTACATTGAGCTACACCCCAGCACTTTTTATTTTATTTTTATTCTGAGACAGGCTGACCTCAAACTTGTGATCCTGCTCCCTCAGCCTCCAGAATAACAGAGATCACAGGTGAGTGCCATCATGCTTAGTAAACATGGATCTAGTATGAAGGAAAAATCAAAGAAAATAATGGAAAGAAACAAATCCTCATAGATACAGAGACAGATAAAAAGTAAAATCATAAATGCTCCATTCATGACTTAAATATTCTTGCATAACTTACAGCCTACGTGTCATATGCTTGGTCTGGACATGGCAAGAATGATTTTTTTAATCCCTGCCTTCAAATATTCTATAATATGGCTAGAAAAGTATGTTTATGAAATCTATAACTGATTACGAGTGGTAAGTTCTTAGAGGCAGTATGGATGGTGTCATGAGTCCTGTCATGCAAAGACCTGGGACCACAGAATCAGATGCAAACATGAACGACAGCCAGGAGGCAATTAGGTATCATTTAAAAGGACTATATGTCCCTATCAGACGGAAAGAGTAGAAGAATAACATAGGCTTCTGTGGACTTCAAGGTTCCTTAAAGAAAATTGTGGCAACCACTTTCTTTGAATTTGTATTCGGGAATTTCCAACATAAACATAAACAGGAATGTGAACTTCACAAACCAATCACCTAGCTTCAATAATTATTGAAATATTAACATTCCTATGTTTGATTTCATCTGGTCTCCTCTTGTGTTCATATTTTCCCGAGAGCATTTTAAAACAAATTTCATTTCATCTGTAAATATTTTAATGTATAAAAAGAGATTATTCCAAAGATTATTTTTAATGTCCTTGTTAATTAGCATTTGGTCTCATTTACAAATTCTAATTGAACACTTTCAACTGTATTGATTGTTATCAAAATTTTCCTTTTTAAGAACCACATTTGACTTATGATATACAAATATTCCTATGCACATAATTAGTTCTTATAGATCCAATAACTTCAACCTATAAGATAAATCTTAACTGCTGTTCAGTGCTCCAGTACCATATGCAAGATTTGTAAGGTTTCAACCTAAGAGGCTAATTCACATTTTTTAATGTGCTGGGGGTTTGAGGTTGTCAGGATGGTTTGGGGGTCACACCAGCATTTAGTGAGTGAAGAGGTTGAAGTTTTGCACTCCTTGAGATGGCCTCAGGCAACAGAGTTGTCACATTCAAAATGCCAAAAGCACCCCTCCAATAAGGAGCTCAGTCTGACATGAACACTATAATTACTACTTTTCTTTTCCCCTTAGTTTTCAGGTCTTTAAAGTTTCATTTGTTTGTTTGCTGTCTGGTTTTAGTTTTGTCTTTGTTTTCTGCAGAATTTGTGTGTGTGTGTGTGTGTGTGTGTGTGTGAGAGAGAGAGAGAGAGAGAGAGAGAGAGAGAGAGAGAGACAAGGTCTCACTAAGTTGTGGAGGCTGATCTCCAATTTGCAATCCTCCTGCCCCAGCCTCCTGATTACAGGCTTGTGTACTGTGTGCCCAACTGTGTTAAAGATTTGGAAAGAATGAGACCATGGAACTGTGGTGGGAAAGACTAAGTGGAGTCACCAGACCACACTGGCCTGTCTACAAGTTCGCTGTTACTGCAGATGAAAAGCAGTAGTGGAGGAATGTGGGTGCGATGGGGGGGGGGGGCAGGGAGGCAGGCTGGGGTGATGGGGTTGTAGGATCACAGGGCATCTTTTTCTGTAGGTGAATCTTAGAGCAGTAGTTCAGGCCCTGCTGCTTGTCCCTACCTGGCTTGTCAAGAGAATCCAGGCCTTGTTGTCGGCCTGGGCTGAGCTACTAGCTGGAGGCTCCAAATTTATTGTTGCCTGCATCAAACCCACCAGCTGAGGAGGCCATCTCTGGGAGGAGAAAGAACAAGGAGCCTTGAGCATCCTGAGCCTGGATCAAGGGGCTCTCAAATGTCAGCGAGTCCTTTCCTGAGCCCTCGGAGAGCAAAGACTTGCCCCGAGTTGTCAGATCATGTACACACCACACTCTGGACTGGGTACCTAACACTTCCCACATCACCCTTTCTGCATCTTTTTTTTTGGTTGCTCAAAACATTACAAAGCTCTTGCTCATAACTTAGGAGTCAACACAAAATGGGTGACTGTAGGAATTCAAGTTAAAAAAATCGTTAAAGCTTTGCCTAGGTTCTTCCTTCGATCTGGTTGAAAGTTGGTCTCTTCTCTGGGGAGTAAAGTAACCATGCCAACCGTAAATATTCCCTTACTCTACTAAAGTAACAGAGGACCTTGGAGATGTGGAGGCAAGACTGCAAGTGCCAACCGCCACAGGTGGGAAAGGTGACGTGTGCAGCCGTTTCTGTGGGTCACGGAGGATGTGCTCTAGCACATATGCGAGTGGGCATTTCCCCCTCAAGGGTCCATGCCATAAATTTCCAAGTGGACAGTTGTCAAGGTATGGAGAGAAGCTCATGGAAAGGCACAGACTTGTGCAGAAAAAGTGTGACTGTCTGGTACACTTTCCTGAAAATGCACAACACTGACAACCTTCCTTCACTGTGGTTTTCAAATGAAAAACTCTGTACCTAAGACAGAGGTGAGAATCAGTAATTGCCCAAGTTCCCTCTCTTCCAGCTAGTGATGTGGCTCCTCCTGACAGCCAGACTGTAAGCACGAATGGACCATCTTCCAAATAACTGTCACAACCCGATCACACCTTTTATGTGATCCAGTTCCCAACATCACCGCCTCTTGCTAGGGCTCTAGCATGCTTTCCCAGCTCTTCGCTCCACACCAGCTTTCTTACAAGCTATTCTCCATGACAGATGGCCAGAGGGAGATTCTTAAGATATTTGTATCCTATCACTCCTATGTCTAAACCCATCCAGTGGTTGCCCAAAGGGTTTGGAATAAAGCCCAAACACTGTGCCTGGTGTCTAAAGGCCCAACATGATGTGGCCTCTGCCTCTCTCATCTTCATCCACTGTCCCCTGTGACCACAGTGCTGCGGCCACCTTGGAGGACTAGGAGAGGTACAGTTGCGCTTCATCAGCAGGATCAGGAAGTACGGACAGCAGAGATCAGAAGTGAATCAGGAGTAGAGGTCCTCACAGAAAAGTAACCTCTAAATTAGAGAAGGGGATGGAAAAATGCCTCAAGGAGGGAAGAAGTCAGCTTCAACTTCAGCAGGGGTCACAAAGAAGATCAGAACATCTGAGCAGTGGAGTTCCTGAACCTAGAGGCTGTGGGGTGTGCAATCAGGTTCATTTGGAGAGTTACCCGCTTGGAGTCCCTGTCATTGGAGGCAAT